ACAGGCAGCCGCACCTGGAGTCGGTGGACCACCCGCTGTTCCGCCAAAGAGAACCAAGCCAACCTCCACATTGCAACCGCAATAATATAAGATCTTTGTAATAATAATAGCACAGCAATGCACTATCGATTAATTGAAGACTTTGGCATTCGTCGTGCCATGCGTAACTTGGTCATGAGTAGGTCTACGTCATCGAATGCGTCGAGACATTCCAAATATGTACTCTGCGTTGGATTACCAACCAAACAGATATTGCTAACTGCATCGGCGTCATAACTCGATGTGCTAAAGTAATCATACACTGCGAAGCCAAAGCGATTGAGGTTGAAGTATTGCGCCAACTCGTTAAGTACCTGTCCATCAATGATTGTAGACTGATGGATGGAAGGGCAGTCTTAGTACATGATTGATTGATGGGTCATAGCATCAACGTTTCCCAATGCTTACCTGCACGTCATAGACATTGTTGAAGTTGTATTCCAATGTCCAATTGGTATGATTAAGTAGGTTGGAGAAGTAGATGTCTGTGTAGTAGGTGTCAAACGTTTGGATGTTCAGATAGTCATCAGCAGAGAATACTTTGAATGATGGATTGTTATCGTAGACTGGTGATATTGCCGATCCGACAAATATGGGCATATATGGATTGACCGTGCTTGGTGGCTGGGGGTTGGTAGCAGGTTGATCATAAGCTGGTGCTCTAATCTGATCTCTATGAATATGTCCAAAGAATCCCGCCTTGATGATTGAGTTGTACTAAGGAGTGGGTCGCGAGCGAGGTCGTTAGTCCTGGATTGTGGACGGCAAAGCAACAAACACACTTACATTGGAAAGAGTTTGATAGAATGTAAGGATATACGGCTCGTACCATTGCTCGAGCTGATAGAATGGATCCAGGCCAGGGTAGATGTGTCCGATGATGTAGACAGAGTTGTTGATGGATTGGGCAATGTCCAGCTGATCTTCAAGCCATGCAAACTGTCCACAGGGATCAGTGTCAGTGAGTGGATCTCGATCTTGATTTACAGAGTATAGTATGGTGTTGATGGTTATTACTGTGAGACCATCAATTGGTGTGACGGCCATTGCTCCCATCTGAAGGAAGCTGGACACTTGGTCCTGAGGTATCCAAGGACTCCACACCTGTGACAAGAATTGAAGCTTACTATCACTGCACGTGACATTGTAGTCTGGGAAGACATCATTGTTTCCAATCGATGGAATGAATGGTATGTTTGGCAACAATGATTGTACCATCTTGGCAAAGATCGTATGAGATTGAATCCATTGATCCATTGGCATAGAGTGTCCAACGCTATCTCCTGTACTACATGTTATGTGCGTGCGTATGACGTTGACCGTTAGCTTGTGGCATTGTATAATTGATGTCTGTGTCCTGGACCTACTATATAATGAAGTTTGGTGTCGGGTTGATACTAGCCATTGCCTGCAAGCTATCAATGTGAACGAGGTATGTCAGTGAGTGAGGGGATGGGTGTGCAAGCGAGACGTCAAGCCATTCAATCCATGTTCACATACGTTGAGTTGAATAGTTCAAGATTGGTATCACATCCATAACGACCAAATAGTCCACTATGAGTTATCTTCTCCTGTGTTACTGGTCGTCCATGGTGATCGTCCTCCTCTTCAATCATATCTTGAATCTCTTTACTCCTATATCTATGTTTGTTTGATTGATTGAATTAGTGATTGAGTGATTGAGTGATTGAGTGATATGGTCAAGTACATACAGTTGAGGATCCATACAACGTGTAGATGAATTGTAATAGACAGAGTCTATGATTGAGTTATAGTGTACATCACTCAAGTGATGAAATATTGCATATTGAGCATTGACTGTAATACTTGTTGTTGACTGTTGTTGTATCAACAACAATATCAATAGTGATACAACTATAGTGTATAAGTACATTATTGTTGTTATTATTGTTTCCCTTCACTTCCTCACTTTCTCGTATCCAATCACAATCAAGCATGAACAAGCACCATGGCGACCTTAATGTACAGTCGAGTGATGCATTGTGTTCACTTTATTTTTTTGAACCCAGAGGACGGGTTTCGTTTGGTTTCCAAGCCCTTTGTGATGATAACTGTGATGCAGAAGCATGACTTTAACATTATCCATTATCACTATCACATCATACTATTGATAAATAATCTCTTTGTGTTTGACATTGTTCATCTCAACCTAACATAGAGTCCAACACGCTTGATTTATGATTGATTAATTAGATCATTATTCCAATCTGCGCACTTTTGGTTAACTATGGTCCAGACCCTTCACACAATACCATTCGTATTCTCAACACACACAATGATTAATCACACGAACATTTGAATCTGTTCATTTGGTGGGGTGATCAACAGCTAAATCCGTTGAAACTAATTAGTATTTGAATTTGAAATTTGAATTTTGAAAAGTGCGCCTAAAATATAATTGATAAATCCTAATGATGAGTGTGAGAGTTCAAAAAACAACGCGATCTACCCCTCGAGTGTTGTTCAAACATCATTACTTCAGCTGCATCAACCAACCATTCAAACATTTCAAAGCAATAACAACAACTATCAACCAAACACATACACTTGTATAACTCTTTACAAATCTATCTCACTATCTCTTAATTAATAATGCCAAGCAAGAAGAACACTGAAGGAGCACCAGCTGCCGCCGCCACCAAGAAGACCGCCGCCGAGGCAAAGGCCACCACCCCAAAGGTTGCCAAGACCAAGACTGCCTCTGCTGATGGAGAGAAGAAGAAGAAGAAGAAGAAGTCTGACTACTCCTCCTTCTCCACCTACATCCACAAGATTCTCAAGACCCTCACCCAGAATTCTGTCTCTGGTGGCACTGAGAAGAAGATCACCATGTCTGCCAAGTCCATGGCCGTCATGAACTCCTTCGTGTACGACATCTTTGAGAGAATCGCCACCGAAGCCGGTCTCCTCGCCAGAAAGAAGAAGAGAATGACTCTCCACTCCAGAGACATCCAGGTCGCCGTCCGTATCATTTTGACCGGTGAGCTCGCCAAGCACGCCATCGTCCAGGGTATGACTGCTGTCTCCAAGTACAACCCAGCTGCCAACGAGTCTGCCATCTCTGGTGGTCACTAAATCTACAAATCAACATGTGCTCCATTGTCCTATGATGGTTGTTATTGTCTAAAGGTGTTTTTTAACACCATACTATCGCGGAACTTCTATCTGTCATTATCACCAATATCCATCCATCCATCCACCCATCACTTTCACTATGTGTGATCCAATCTGGTATCATTTATTGTGAATAGTCTTCTTGGTCTCGTTGTCCTGAGCCTTCCTTGTGAACAACTCGATCCTCTTGTATTCTACATAGGGATGTGTCTCAAGGGCTCCAACAAAAATGTCGCCAATGTTGATGGCAGCATTCTCATCTCTATCCATCCATAAAGTACCACACTTGGGGGCATCTCAGCTGTTTCCAGGGGAGTCTAGCTGCACCTGTCTCATTAGACACATGTCGACTCATTCGAAAGGTGAATGGTTTGCCATCTACCTTACTACATCTACATCCACACGTCATTAACCAAACTTCAATCATTGACTTTCTATGATGTTTATAATGAATACCCAATTTGGTATTGCTCACCCTGTCAATCAATCTAGATTCTTGTAATGTTATTTACTTTGCATTCATTCATCTCAATATTCATTCATAAATATCCATACTCTATGAGTATACAAATACAAATAAATATTCAAACTCTCAAGTCCCTGATATCCCTCAGTTAATAATAATGCCTCCAAAGAAGACGACGACCACCTATGTTGATGAAGTGGATATACCAATAGAAGAGGTAGAGGAAGTATCCATTACTTCTCGGGGGTCCAATGTATTGCCAACAGCAAAAAAGAGAGCGCCAACTAGTACCTCTTCTCCTCAACCTCGTGCTGCATCAAAGACAACAACACCAACACCAACACCTGCAGCAAAGAAAACTGCTGCTGGTGCAAAGAAGAAGCAACAACCTAAAAAGGTTGCCAAGACTAGTACAAAGGCGGGAACAGGATTGAAAAAGAAGACGAGGAGAAGAAAGAAGAAAATGACGTTCTCATTGTACATTCACAGGATACTCAAGACTTTGGTGGAGGCTACGAGACGTCGTTCAGGATTACGGGGTGCTGATGAGAAGAAGAGAGTTACAATATCAACAATGTCAATGGCGGTCATGAACTCATTTGTCTTTGACATCTTTGAGAGAATAGCTACTGAGGCTGGGCTACTGGCCAGAAAGAGAAAGAGAAAGACTCTCCACTCACGAGACATCCAAGTGGCAGTCCGTATCATCCTCTCTGGAGAACTTGCCAAACATGCAATCGTACAAGGAATGACAGCAGTATCCAAGTTCTACCCAGTATCAAATAATTCAAATCATGATCATTGATTGATCAATTGAGGTCCAACCCAAATACATCATTATTACATGATAATTATTATACAATGACATAATCAGAAGTTTTAGTTATTTAAAGATATATTATTGTGAGATATATATGTTACCATTACAAGATATGACCCTGGGACATCACAAACCAAAATAGATACTGATATGGTAATTACCAAAGCAGTGAGGGATGTGAGTGGATCGGATGGACATGTATGGCGTAATTCATATGTCCAAAGAACATGGCAGCTACTTTGGAACATATGATCAGTTCAAACGAGGATTTGGTGCGATGGCCACAAAGAGAATCAAAGAATACATACTTGTGCTGCCTGCTGATATCCGTCCTCTGGTTGAGGCAGAGTTGCCCACCACACTCAAGGACAACCTCTTTGGGGTGATGCCACAGCACATCATTGTTGTCCAGCAGGCCAATGGGCAAGCGAGACCCTTTACAAAGATGGAGATTGTTTTGTGTCCTGTGTTTGTGAGGTCAAGAGAGACAGAGACACAACAAACGTGTGGGTGTGTTTGAATTTCACTTCACTTGTAAGTATGAAAGCTAATGAGTGTGTGTCGATTGGTGGAGAGACAAATAACATTGTTAGTGAAACGGCGTGGGGATTGGTCAATGACATAATCTAATCTAGAAATGTGAGTGGTGAGCTGTACTGACAATAGTCATACACATTACGATACATGGTATATATGGCACAAGCATCATGATTACTTACCATCACAAGCCATACTATATACACTTTTGGAGCATCATAGTGGCGTACAGACACTGTCACCAACAACTTCAACTATCCATCATAATGACGCCTTTGGAATAATAAGTCTTCATTGGACGTCTGTTAACAAAGGTATTTGAACAGCTGTCTTTCAACATCATTCAATGTCAATGTTAATCAAACATACTTAAATAATAACAATCAATCAATCAATCAATCAATCTATTAAATCAATTAATCAATCAATCAATTAATAACAAATGGAAGCTAAAGCAACTGAATCTGGTACATTGGAGCAGAGAGAGAAGATGATGGCATTCTTCAAGGTGATGGATTTGGCTGATGGACATATGCGTACTTCCGCCTTGACTGCTGCAACAAAGTTGGACGTGGCCAGTGCCTTCCAACCTGGCCAGAGATGTACAATTGAGGAGTTGGCCAAGAAGACCAACTGCAACCAACAGTATCTGTACCGTTTACTTCGTGCGTTGACCTCGATCGGATTCTTCAAGGAGGTGGAGACTGGAGTGTTTGAGCATACTCCAATGTCCGAGGCACTGATGTCCAGCCATATGCGTGATATTGTCATGATGTCTGGCTTGCGCTCAATGGTGGAGCCATTCTATGACCTGTCCGAGACCGTCAAGAATGGAAAGATCAACGAGGCTAAGGTGTTTGAGGGCCATCCAACCTACTGGGACAGCCTCAGGACCAGACCAGAGGAGGAAGCCATCTTCAGCAGGGCCATGACGAGCTTCACTGTGACTTGTGCTCCTCAACTCGTCCAGATGGCCGACTACAATCAGTTTGAGACTGTTTGTGATCTTGGTGGCTCCCAGGGTATCCTTCTCTCAGAGATCCTCAAGCAGTCGCCCAAGGTCAAGGTTGGTTTGAACTTTGATCTACCATCAGTTATCAATCAGAACAAGAACAACCAAGCCCTGATCAAGACCCGTGATCCACGATTCCAGGAGGTGGAGGGATCATTCTTCACCAAGGTACCTGAGGCCGATTGCTACACTCTCAAGAACATTCTTCATGATTGGGACAACAAAGCTGTCATTGAGATCCTCAAGACCGTCTCCAAGAGCATGAAGCCAACTTCCAAGGTCTACGTCTATGACTTCCTCATGGCTGAGAAGTCCACTCCAGAGAATTCCTTTATCTCATGGCTTGACATCAGTTAGTACTCCAACTACCCAATCCACCTCAAGAATTAACAATTTAACTAACTTATCCTCTTACAACTTATTATAGAGATGATGGCACTCCTTAATGGTTTGGAGAGGAGCTTGGATGATTGGAAGACTGTATCCAATGGATGTGGACTAAAGGTGGAGAAGGTGATCCCATCGCCAATGCCCCATGCTCCAACTCTGGTCATCTTTGGCAAGTGATTGGAATAGATCTCAAGATTCCTCCCTGGCCTTAGGTCGAGCATCCCATCCAACCACCCTATGAGGTAGTTTGTTTCAATTATCCATCCATTATCCACAATCATAGTACCCTAATAAATAATAAAGTCTCTCTATTGTGTTGATCATTTCCAACATCATACGTTTCCATTTATTGATGGTGTGGCGTGGCGTGGCTTTAGAATGGCACAAAGTTATTGAGTATGTTATCCTTCCTGATGTCCTGTTTCTTGAATCTCTCGGAAAGGATTTGCTTTCCTCTGTCAGCGCAGTTCAAGAACGAGTGTCTGAGCAGCATCTCTGGCACCGGTCTAACAAATGGATCAGTGTTGAGGCACAGATCGACAAAGTCAACAAGCTCACGGGACTATAGTTGAATGAATGGTAGGGTAGGTAGGGTAGGTCAGTGAGACATATTCAAGGATTGTGTCCACTACTGGATGTTATGGGATACTTACAAACTTTGATGGGTTGACCAGCTTGTAACCAATGGTACCTGTGTAGAACATCGACTTCAATGATGTATCCTTGCCATAGGGCACGGTGCCCTCTGCTAGCTCGACTATCAGACAGCCCAAACTGAATATGTCCACCTGGGTGTCGTAGGGCTCGCGTCTGACGATCTCTGGCGCGATTCTGCCCATGGTACCACACATCCTGGTGCGACCACGACCAAGACTGTTGGTAGTTGCAAGACCAAAGTCTGCAATCTTTACCTTGCCACGGCGAGTTAGCAGGATGTTCCTGGACTTGATATCGCGGTGAATGATGCCCTGTGATCGGAGGTACACCAGACCCTCGAGCAACTGTTTGGTGATGTAGGCAATCAGTGGCTCTTCCAGTGGGTTGGGTGTTGTGGTGTGGCCAGGATTGCTCTTCCATTCGTCCTGGATGAGGTCTCTGACCGTTCCACCATCGCAGTACTCCATGATGATCCAAAGATGTCCCTTGCACAAGTAGGACTCGTAGTATGACACGACGTTGGGATGTTTACAATAGCTGTGTATATACAACTCGGGAATGATTGGACTACCCCTCTTTGTTCGCTCCATCAACACCTTGATCGCCACCTGTTTGTTATCCGACTTCCTAACTGCATAGAATACATTTCCAAATGCACTATTGTTTGTTTGATAGATTGTTAGTAGGAGTTTGAGACGTTCAAGTGATTGATTGTATTTGAACTTACCCTGTACCAAGCTTCATCTTCTCCTTGAATAGAAGTAGGGGATTGCCATTGGAGAATATGGACTCATCACATCTTGGAAGAGGAGGTGGACGTGGCACTTGAGCACGCGCCATGGGTGGGATGAAGCGGGAGACAGTGACCATCTGTTGTTGTTGATCCTCCGTGCATGTTGGTATAACAGAGACAATGGCTCTTCGTGTGGGCTTGGTCGATGGCAATGTAAGTCTCCAATTACCAACTCTATTGCTTGATCCAAGTGTTATGCTACTGCCGCCACTTGTCGTTGTTGTTGTCGTATTGTTGTTGTTACTGTTGCTGAGTGATAGACTGGATTTTGATCGCGACTGGAACCTCGCTGGCTTGTAACCTGTATAGGGAATAATCAGAGTTGACCCGCTGGGCGATCTGTGAATGGAAGGGATGATGAGCTGTACCTTCTTTATCTGTTCGGGTTCGGGCTCCTCGGGTTGTTGCTGTTCATGCTCTTGGCCAGGGAGCAGAGTGGTCATCCTGCGCTTGATTGACTCCTTGGTCTTCTTGTTGGATCTATAGTAGTTGGGAGGGATGGGCTGATTGGGTATGGTATCCTTGGTGAGGAAGTAGATGGAGTTCCAGGCGATCTCAAAGTTTTTCATGATCTCCTCTTCACTAAGGCCTGACATGCGTACATAGGCCTGCAGCTTGGGTGGCATGCTCTTGAGCGTCCTCTGCTGTGACAGGATGGACTCGGCGTCGTCACGCTGGAAGACAAAGCTCTCTACCTTTGACAGATGCTCCTTGAGCACGTCGAGAACCGGCTGGCCTTCGACCTCCTTGGCGCCACATAGAACTGAGAGCGTGTTGATGGCCTTGTACTGGATGGCCTGACGCGAGTTGAGGCACAGTGACACGATGCCCTCGAGTGAGGGCGTGGTTCCGCTGAGTACAAGACGGGAGAATGTGGAGAGATACTCGTCGACTGAGTGCAAGTCATCTTCCTCCTTCTCGGCAGCCTCCTCCTCGAGAAGCTTGATCGTCAGCTGGATGTCGAGTGCGCGTCCCCAGTTCTCGATGGCACGCGTCTTTTGCAGATCAGTGAGCTGCTCCTCAGTGAAGACTGGCTCGAACAGATCGTTGAAGCACTGGCGGTATAGCTCGCAGGCTGTGGTGACCAGCGCGTAGACGGCACCGCGTGGGCCGCCAAACTGATTGAGTGTTACCAGGTGTCGGTGGTAGGCGGTCGCCAGGTGGTAGGTGGTGATGGGCGATGGGTAGATGTGATTACTGTACGCCAGCGACTGGATGGACTGTGTGTGCAGCATCTTCCAGAGGTCCTCTGTCTGGATGTTCTCCTCGTTGGACCACTCTGACATCAAGAACTGACACTTCATCCTCCTCGAGTACCTGCTCAGTGTGATTCCCCACTTCCTCAGTGCCATCGCCATTGACTTTGTAATCGAAGGGTTGTCGGAAGGTTTAGTCTGTTGTTCCATTTGTCGTTGTAGTAATACTAATGCCTATTATTGATTGATTGAATGAGTGAGTGAGTGTGATTGAATGATTGAATGAGGTTACTTACTCGGTGGAACTTCTCACATGTCGCCTTGTACATTGGCAACTCGAGGTAGGTGCATAGGATAAAGAGACAGTCGCCCCAGCGTATCCATAGAGCGGGGTCGGACCAGGGAGAGTTGGGATCATCGCTCGGGGTGATGGGAGGAGGCGCGGCGGGCAAGGAGACCGCGCGCATGAAGCGCTGAAGTGAGTTGACGCCGCCACCGTGTGCGTGACCGCCATCAGGGTTGGATACATTGTTGGAGATTGTCGATCGAGACAATGGTGTTTGTTTGGGATGTGGCTGTTTGCTATTGCGTTGCTGTTGTTGCTGTTGCGCTGTGGGCTGCACAGGCTTGGGTGGGTTGGCCGTGAAGCTGAGCAGCGTGGTGAGCGTGACGGTGGTTGGATAGCCACCGCTGGCGATCTGTAGGGCGTGCTGGTACTTGCTGCACACGTCAAATAGGGGCTCGCGAAGCAGCATCGATTGAAGACCGTCGACGAATGGAGTGTTGGGCGGTTGCTGTGCTGACTGCGTGGGCATGGGGATGAGGTCCTCGTTCCAGTCCAGCAGACAGAGGTCCACAGTCTTGCCACCAAGCAACTCTTTGATCTTCTTGTGAATGAGTTTGGACCATTTGATCAGGGTTTCGACGTCCTTGGGGTTCTGATCCATCAGCAAACGATACTTGTACTCCAGACCAATGTCGACGAGCTGGTGTCGCGGATTGCCTGCGCTGACCGCGCTACACTCGCTGCCCATCGACTGAATCGACATCTTCCTGCTCTGCTCCAATGCCATTGTCAGACTCTGTTCGTCCACGGGAATGGCCACAGGCTCGCGCGCCTCTGGCACCGCCAAATCCGGCGACTCTGCCGCGGCAAAGTCCAGCTGTGAGTCTGTGTCCTTGGACTCAGTGATCGATGGCTCGACCTCAACATGATTGATTGTGAATGCCTGCGCTGCCGGTACCTCGAGGATGACCGCTGGCGTGGCAGGTGTCGTCTCTGGCGCAGCTGGTGTCTGTGTGGTTGCGAGCGAAAGAGATATCTTGGATGGCGCCAACAAGAATGGCTTCTCACGGACAAACACTATGTCCTCGCTTGGCTGGCTTTGTTGAGTAGCAACAGCGGCAGCTGGTGTGTGAGTGTGTACTGTCTCTGCCACGACCTTTGTTGTTTGCTCCTGTGGTGGCTCGCTCGTGAGACTCTGAATCAGCTGCTGCAGATCGTCCAGCTCCTCGGGCAGGGCCGGGCGCTTGATGCGCAATGTAGACGTTCGCGACGTTGACAAAATGCTTGACTGGCTACTCGCGCGCTGCAACTCTGACTTGATGAATGAGTTTGTAATCTCCTCCTCGAGCTTGGACAGCTCTTCCAGCTCCTTGTCCACGGACTTTGACTTGGGAATCTTGCCTGTGCCGATGGGGATGTTTGTGTGGTTGGCGTTGAGGTTGGCGGGCGTGACCGTGCCCGACTTGTTTGAAGAGCCAATTGACGGCGAAGAGCTCAGCTGATTCATAATGTTGGGCGAGCTGCCTGATGACAACTGTATGTCGCCCGTGTCCAAGTCGTTGGTGCTGTCACTATCATCGTCGTCATCATCATTATTGTTGTTGTGGCTTGTTGTATGTGTTGTAGTGGTCGTAGTAGTAGCCGTGCCCTTTAGCATTGCCTTGGATGACGCGGATGTAGCCATTGGTTTGAATGTGTTCATCATTGTACGAGTGTAGGCTGCCACCTCTGAGTCATAGTCGTCGTCCTCATCCTCATCGTCATCATCATCAAAGTAATCATCATAGTCATCATACTCCTCGCGCAACTCACTGAATGAATAGCTACTCGACAGATGCATATGTTGTTGGTTATGGCTGCCGGGAGCAGTCTGTGGCGTCGATGGTTGTTGCTGTTGTTGTTGTGCTACAACTTGTTGCTCTTCGTATGGATGAATGATATGACCGTCATGGTCGAATAGTAGGTCGTTGGCACTGACGTTGACTTGGTAGCGCTTTGAATAACGCTCACGTATATTATCTCGTAGACTGTCGCCTCCTCCACCTTTGCTATTCATACTGATACTTCGATCGAGATCATCATTGTCGATGCCCTCGGACTTTGACCTGCCACGACTTGACTTTGATCTATTTTGCAACAACATAGACATGGCCTGTATCGAGGACTCCACATCCTCGTCATATAGTTGTTGTTGTTGTTGTTGATCTCTACTCAATCCATTTGTGCTGCCATTGTTGTCCATGGTCTATCTTATGAATAAATATATATATATATATATATGTTATGTTTGTATATGTGTGTGTGTGTATATGTGTGTGTGTGTGTATCTGTGACCAAGTTGGAAATGGACTAAGTCAGGTGAGCGACTTCTGTTTGTGTGTGGTGTGTGTGTGAATGAATGAATGAGGTCGAAGCCTCGGGAAACGGAAGATCTGTGTTTGGGTCCTTGACTTCTATTTATGTGAGTGTGAGTGTGTGAGTGTGTGAGTGTGTGAGTGTGATTGATAAATCTAAGATATAAGATATCTGTGATCTGTGTATATGTGTGTGTGTGTGTACGAAAAGGTGAATGGTTAATGAAGATTAATCTTTGATGAGCCTGTCACTAATTCACTCAAGGATCTATGTGGTCATCAATTGAATTAGTAAAGGATATTTATTGATTTTTTATTATTAAATGACTTTGGGAGCTCCCCTTCATCGTTGTTAGGTTTTGTGATGACGAGGGGAGAGGTCACAACCCCCCTCCTTCACTCTGAGACTCGAGAACTCACTTGGTTTTGGTGTCGCGAGCTTATCAACTTTCGAGATAAGCACTCCCCCCCGTTTGGTTGTATGATTGATTGATTGGTCAGGTGAGGGCAAGGGTTTGTTTGATTGTCGTCAACATTAAATTGTCAACAAATAAAGTTGACGACATGTGTCCAGGCATGTTATGTGATTAGTTTGGTGGACGAGGGAAAGATAGACAAACGAATGGCCGACCAGGGCCAGCAGGACTTGTTTAACATTACATTTATTGAGGTGATATGAAGGACAGGATGGATGGATGGATGGATGTTGAAGTTATACTACAATCTCAACAAAGTAAAGTTGACTTTGTCTTTGAGCATGGATGGATGGATTGATGGATTGGTCGTTAAGAAAGAGAGTTGAGATGAGATGGTGGAGTGGAGGGAGTCTTCGGGTAAGGCTAGTACTATATATATCCTAAGGTGTAAGTTGATTGATTGACTGATTGATTGACTGATTGGGTGTTGTTGTAAATATATATATAATATATATAATAATTATAATAATATAATATAAATATAAAAAAGGAAAGGATCGACTGGAGTGGCTAGACATGGACAGAGGGATGACGACGATCAGGGACGGTACAGGTGCGACTACACCCGACCGGCCGGTCGGGACCATCCCCCACCACGACCCATGCAATGCACCATCACACACAAACAGACCTGAAGCCTAAACACTTTAGTCACGATCGTGGTGCAGGTTATTGCTACTGAGACTGTGAGCTGGCTTGTCTGTTGGTGTGGTGGATGCAGAGGATGAGGTCGATGAGGGGAGCAGACTGCTGTTGCCATTGTTGTTCTCGAAGCGATACGAGGGCAGCGATGTGGAGAATGAACGCGTGTGCTTGATGTGTGGCGCATTGGGCATGCCTGCGCCACTAGTCGTGTCACGTCCGCTCATAAACTTGGGTGGAGCGACCAGGTTGCCCTGTCGCTTCTTGTGCTGGCCGTTGCCCTTGAATGATGGACACTCGACCTTGAGCTTGGTTGTCTGCTTCTTCTGATCCTCGACCAACTCGTGGTGCTGGCGCTGCTGGTCGGCGATGAGCAGGTCGTGCTGCTTGGTTTGCTCGGCCTGTAGGTTGGCAACGTCCTTGGCTTGGCGCTCGTGCATCGCAGCAATCTCGGTCTGCATCTGTTGTGACAGCTGTTGCAGCTGCTTTGACTGCTCCTGCTGGACGGCGGCCAATGATGATGGGAGGTCGGTGACGACGCCACCCTTCTTCTTCTGCTCCTGCTTCTTCAGACTGTCCTGTTGGATGCGGTGCTCCTCCTGCTGCAGCGTCAGGCGCTCCTTGTGCTGCTCGTCCAGCACCTCCTTCTGGCGCGTGTGCTGCTCTTGTAGCAGCGTGGGCGACTCCTTGAACTGGTCCTGTTGTAGGCGCGTCTGCTGCTGTTGCTGCTCCAAGTAGATCTGGCGCTGCTCCGAGTGCTGCTGCTTCAGAAGGAAGCGCTTCTCCTTGTACTGATCGATGAGGATCTCCTCCTCGCCAAACAGAGCCTCCTGCTCAAACTTGTTCTTGGTGGTCTGCAACTTGTCGTCAAGCTCTCGCTGTGCCTGTGTCTGGCGGTCCTGTAGCCTGTTGAACGAGTCCTGCTGGTGCATGGCCAGCACCTCGTCTTCCTCCTGACGCTGGCGCTGCAGTTTCTTCTGGAACTCATTGTCGCACTGCTGTAGCGTGAGCTCAAACTGCTTGCGCTGGTCCTTGTGCAGCACCTGCAGCTGCTTCTTGTTGGTCTTCTCCTCCTTGAGCTCGCGCTTCAACTTGTTGAGGAACTCCTTGAGCTGGTCGGTCTGCTTCAGGCGGAACTCCTTCAGCTGGTTGCGCTGCTCGTTGTTCATCTGCTTGTTGTGCTGCTCGGTCTCGTTGATCTGGCGGTCCTTCAGCTGCGAGATCTCGAGCGCGTGGTGCTGCTCCAGGTGGTTGCGCTCCTGCTGGTGCTCCAGGGACATGTTGTCGCGCAGCGTGCCCTGGTAGTCCTTGTAGGACTCCATCTGGGACTGATGCTGGCCGGCCAGCTGGGACGTCTGTTGCGTGTGCCACGACGACAGCTGCTCCATCTGTTGCTTGTTCTCAAAAGAAAGGTTGTGGGTGCCAGTCAGATGGTCGTCCAGGAGCTTCTGCAGGTCCTGGCGCTGCTGGAACACGAGGTCCTGGATGAAGACCTCTTGCGCCTGCACCACCTTCTGGTGGTTCTGCATGTGCTTGGACAGCTTCTTGGGCGTGTTCTTGTCGATGGTGCTCGTGGTCTTGAGCTCGGTCTCCTTCTGCTTCTGCTGCTGCTTCTGGTGGTCCTTGAACTCCTTCTGCTGCTGCTTCTGCTGGTCCGACACACGCAGACGCTGGTTGCGGCCGTCCGACGTGTTCTTCTTGAGCAGCTGCTCGCGGTCGGCCTTTTGCTGGCGCTGCAGGTTCTCGCGCTCCGACTTGTGCTGGCGCTGGCTCTTCTCCTCGCGCGCTGCGTTCTGCTTTTGCTGCTGCGACGCACGCTGCTGGCTCTGGCGCAGCAGGTCCTCCTTCTCTTTGGCGTGCTGCCTGTTCTGTGTGTCCTCCTCCCTGCGCTGCTTCTGCTGCTGGCTCTTGATGTCCTTCAGTTGCTGCTTCATCAACTTGCCGTTGACCACCTTCTTGGACGCTTCGTTGCGCTTCTCGAGCGTCTTTCTGATCGTGACGGGGCGGCCCGCCTTGCGGTTGGTGCGTATGTCGGGCGACTTGTTCTGATTGTGATGGTTGTCGCTTGTCGAGTGGCCAGACGATGGCTTGGAGTGGCCGTTGCCCGCGCCGTCCTTATGGTGCGTGGACGACGTGCTGGGCTGTGTGGGTGTGGATGGATGACTCTTGTCGTTGTCGGACGACGATGAGCTGGTCAGCTTGTTCTTTAGCTCGCCACTGCTATCGTTTCTCAGCTTGTTGTTGGCTGCGGCGGTGGCAGAGTGTGGCGCCAGCGACTGAGGACTGCTGACGCTTGGTCCCTTGCCGTTGCTGCCGTTGCTGACACTGTTTGCTCGAGCGTTCACTGGTGATGGGGGTGGCGATGGGTTCACATGTCCATTGGTGCCATGCTTCTTGTCCTCGTCGGACTCCTCATCAACATCATTCTCATCCGGTTCCTCATCCATCGCAGCTTCGGCCAATCTAAACTTCCTATATCGCGTAATCAAGTCTTGTAATATAACCTTCTCAGGTGTTCTTGCAAGGAATGGATGCTACATGACACAGGGTAGGGTTGTTAGTTAGCCATCATTCAATCGATTGACATCACCATCCAACAACAAACATACCTTTAGCAACTCTACAGCAGTCTTTCTTTGATTTGGATCCTTGTGGAGACAGCATTGAATGAAGTTGACAAAGTCTTTGGAGTAGTTCTCTTGGTTCTTCAACTTGGGAGGGTCTCTGTAAGGTATCTGGAACAACACCTTCATTGGATGGATCTCAGACAGAGGTGGCTCAGCCTCGGCCAACTCTATCAATGTGATTCCAAGAGACCAGATATCAGCCTACAATGTTGTGATCGAGTATGAGTATTAAGTTGATTGAGTGAATGCAGTGGATGAATGAACTTACCTTGGTATCGTAGGGTACTTGATTGCTTCTGTTCTCAATGACCTCGGGCGCCATCCAATAGGGTGTGCCAATGAAGGTCAAGCGCTTCTTTGTATCGCCATCCAATATACCACTGACACCAAAGTCTGCCAGCTTGACCTCACCATTGTCTGTCAACAAGATGTTCGCGCCCTTCAAGTCTCGATGTATGATTCCATGATTATGTAAGTAATCCAATCCCTTCAATGTCTCTCTGCATACATATGCAATCTGTGCTTCACTAAGTGGAATATTGAGTTCTATTTGATTGATTGGATTGTCGTGTAAGTTACTGATTGATTGATTGAGTGAGTGCGATCGTTCGATCATCTCATACCTTGATAGATCTCAGTGATTGATCCACCGCCACAGCACTCCATGGCAATGAAGAGTTCGTCGCCTTTGACCCAACTGCCGTGATACTTGACGATGTTGTTGTGGTTGCACCTGTTGAGAATGTCGATCTCCACGACCAGGTCGTCAAAGGTCTCATCCTCGTCGAGGCCAATGATCTTGACGGCCATGATGTTGTTGGACGGCAGATGTCTGCCCTTGTACACCGTGCCAAAGCTGCCCTCGGCAATCTCCTCGATCAGCTCAAACAAGTCATTTGGGTCCTCGTGTCCCACAAAGGGTTCCAACGCTGCTATATTATTATTGCTGCTCATGATTTGTTTGATTCGTGATTGACTGGACTGACTACTGGACTGGACTGACTGGCTTTGTTGTCTAGTAATATATATATATAAAGTTGATTGATTGATAATATGTCGGCCTGCTCTTTTAAAAATACACTGATTATGTTATAATGATTGATTGAGTTGATGTTGATATTGATGCTGATGTTGATACTGTATTGAGGCAAGGTGAGCTGTACCAAGATGTTAATACACAGAGCGATATTGGCGCTTTAGATTTGATTGATTGATGTGTTTGATTTGAATGATTGAATGATTGATTGGCGCGTATTGGTATTACTACAATGATTCTGTGCAATCGCAAAACATGTTATTGATTGATATTGACAACAGATAGATAGATAGAGGAGGGATATATACTAATACAAACACACAAACAACAAACAAATATTATAATGTATGAGTGAGAGTGTGAGAGTGAGGAGTGACGTCCGGCTTGATGGCTTGAAAGACAGACAAAGAGTGAATGATGTTAGATTAGAGTGTATGAGTGAGAATGAGTGTTAGTGAGAGTGAGAATGGGTAGCCAGCTGGGCTGCCTGCCGGCTTTGTGTGATGGGGGTTGGTTGTGTGTGGCGTGTGTGTGTGCCCAGAGCAGGCAGTTGGGCTTCTTCTTCTCGCTCATTCAACAACACTCATAAGTAAAACACAAACACACACAATACAAATTAAAAAAATTCATTCATTCATTTTGTGTGTGGTGTTGGTAGTGTGAGTGAGGGAATTCAATTGATGTGATTGATTGATGATGGTGTTCGTGTGTGTGTGTGTGTGTGTGTGTTTGAGATGAGGATGATGGTGTCAGGTGTGAATACGACATAGATCGATCAATCGATAAATGAATATTGTTGTTGGTAATCAATTATAATCCAACACCTGAATCTAGATGATGACTTTGAGTGAATATGCGTAATGAGTGAGAGGATTGATGATGTCTTTGCCAAACTAGGTCAAGTTATCAGTTTGGTTGATGATCATTTCCACGACGCCAACGCCACCAACAACTGCTTTAATGGTCAACCGACAGGACAAGTGTTCCGCAAGTGCCCTCTGAGTTTCCAATGAACATTTATCACCTCACTGTCATCCATCCCACATCCATCAAGCATCGTCTTCGGTCGTGAGTTTATGTTTTGTGTGTGTTCAAGGATCAAGTATGATTGATTGAGTTTGTCGAAGTTGTTGGTGCTTCCTCTGCTTCTGTTTCTGTTGTTTTTGTTGTTGTTGTTGTTGTTCACCATGGTGACTTTACCTAACTAGCCTGAACTGAAGGGCCTGTGATGAAGGACCTTTGTAATAAATAAGTAGAATGAAGGAATGAATGAATAAATGTCTGATCAGAATACTTTTGGTTGCCCTTGAAGATGGGATCAGTGGAAGAGACCTAGTCCTAGGAAACACACACACTCAACAAGTTGTTGATTTTACATCATCCATCTCACAGTTCCCTCATCCATCCGATTGGACTAAGTCCTGAAAAACAACCACATAGCCATCCCATCAAATCAAATCAAACACAAGACCAAACAAACAAACAAACAATTATTTATTTGAAATTGAATCGAGATGGTTTGTTTTGTGATCGTTGTCGATGTTCATTCTGAATTGATGTCGATTTAAACAACTTGAAGTTAGTAAATCAACATCTTCAATCTTGAGGAATGAAGACAATCCTTTGATGTTCATTCATTCATTCATTCAACATCATCTCCGTAGTTATAACAAATAATATCATAGTATCTAACAAAGTTATATTTGTTGTTTTGGAATGAACAGTCAATGACATCTCAGCCAAAGTTCAATCAAACACCCTTCCAATCGATCGACTCTTGGTGTTTGGGAGGGAGCAAACTTTTTATTTTTCATCAGATAATCACATTGGTATTCTTGCTAAGATAATAATTCACAAACATAATTCACGTTATTAATAAATTATTCTATACTCTGGACTCTATCTTATTTATATATCTAGATTGAATGATACTTTAAAATGATACTTCATTCAATCAATTTTTTAAATACATCAAGAAATTATCTATCTCGATGTATCTTGGTCGGATGAACATTTGGAATGGTCTAACCAATTGGATTAAATTACTCAAGTAGTAGAGATCTAATCCTTAATAAAGTAGACAGTTTCAAAATTCCTTGAGATAAAGAATTATAATGAACAATTTTTTTTTTATTGGCCCTTATTCGTTGTTAATAATATCTCATAAAAATTCACCTATTAATGTACTCTAATATGATACCTATTGATCACCTGATGACTGTTGGAATTATATTTACAACTCCTGGAATAGTCAGTGAAAGAGTGTGAGGGT